CAATTACATTGCACACAGGAGGTAATTCCATATAAATCTTTCACTAAGAAAGCAAACCTAATGAAATAGCAGATGTGATGCTTTTAATCTAAACATGTTGGGTCATGTGCTCTCTTCCACGGCAACATACAGGGAACACAAAACATTCAGGGAAGAAAAAATGTGCCAGAGGAAAAGGAATGTAAAAGCAGTAATTTCCCCAAACGCTCCTTCCTGATCCAGCACCACAGCCTTCTTGGGCTGGGTAGAGAACAGGACGAACACCTCAGGGTCTCAAAACATCATTCTCTGAAGACCGAAGGCAGACTTCTAATTGCAGCCCAGCAGAAATGCTCATTCACAGCCTCTGCCATGAGGGACTGGAAGGTGCTCCCAGAGGAAGCAGAAGTCCCCAGGGACTCCTTGGTCGAGGTCTGCACAGGATATTTGCTTCATTGTGTGAAGAAGCATTTAGCCTGTCTCCTGCCACTGACAGGAAACTTTTTAGGTTGAAACTTGCAGAATTTGCTCCAGAAAATGTGGCACGAGATTTTTGGTGTAGGGAATCTGCTTTGGCAGGGGGGTTGGACTCAATGATCTCTGGAGGTCCCTTCCAACCCCTACAATTCTGTGATTCTGTGATTCTGCGATTTTCAACCATTTGATGCTGACATGCAATTGTGTTTTTTTCCCCTCTAATCAGATCCAATTTTCAACAGCACGCAGTTTTGTCATTGTCTGCTGTTTAACCCTTTTCTAAAGCTTGCAGTTTTACCTAAGACAGCTCAGCAAAGCCCTGGAAGAAAGAACATTTGAAGGGGAACAATGTAAGTCCATTCTTTTGAGTTTCCAAGGGCTTACAGTCAGCATTACACCCTGGAGGTAGCGCTGTACAGTACTGCAGACAGTGCTCTGCTTGCCAGTGAAGCTGTCTGGAAGATGAGATAAAACCGAGGACCTGGCCATTCTGTGAGCAGAATGGATCCTCTGGGACTTTTTGCAGTATTGAAGTTGTTGGCTCTGAAGCCTGTGTTTGTCCAGCTACGGGGAAGTGTGAAAGAGGAAAGCCAAACCTGCAGGAAGAACGTTCATCAATACTGATGCAACATTTGTAAGGCGTATAAACAGAGTGTTGTGAAGGGCAATCCGAAATCCTGCACAAATTAGGCTGTTGTTCCAACTCTGGTGATCCATTTCTGTACACTCGCTTTCCAAAACCCCCTGGGAATCTCCTTGAAACTGGGCAGGTGGTTCCTCAAGCCAGAACTATGAGGAAATAAGCAAGAACGGTCACTACTGTTTCTGCCTCACAACTTGTGGTGCTATCAGAAACGCAGATATAAATCTGAAAGCTCTTCACAGAGCCTGCAATCCGGAAAAAAACACAAAGTATTTAGAGAGGGCAACATAATATATACGTGCATTGAATACACTTGCAGTTAAATTAGTAAATGAAATGACCATTATTTCCATCTACTTTCAACTTCATTTTTGATAATTACACACAATTGTAAACACAGATGTACTTTCAAAGAAAAAGGTGCGCTGCAAAGTGACCTTGTAATTACTTAGATTAAACTAATGTGGGCTCAAGACTGAGCGAATTTACACTAAAGCCTTGGCCAACACAGACATGAAACTCAGCCTGAAGAGCTTAAATGGAGCTCTACAGAGCAGCAAATCTGCCTATATTTTTTTCTTTCTTTGCTTTAGATAGGTTAATTATAGAAGCACATGAGATTTGTGAACAGTGTAAAAATACAGCAGAAATGACCTGAAAGGACCGAAAAAGCCTGGTTTCTTAATTGATGTAATCTAATGAAAATGAGGCAGAATTGCAGTCACTGTGCTTAGGAATGCTTTGGGGCATATTTTTTTCTGCAAAAAGCCAGCTTTATAAACAAGGGCTCCTTCGCAGACTGTACAATTGCAGGATGAACAGACCACAGGGACAGCTTGGGTCCACATGTTTGTTCAGGGCTGATCTGAACCCATCAAATTAGGACCCTGAGCTGTGGTGCTGTGCCTTCCTAGAGGAAGAAGAGCTATCTCCAGCCACTCCTCACTCCTTCTGAGTGTGACAGCTGTTGTCTGGACCAACTTTGAGTGACAAATAACAGTTGTGATGTTAAACCCCCAAATCTTCACAGCTTGAAGAATTCTAAAGCTCTTCAGGCTTTAGAATTGACAGTTGTAATATGTGCTGATGGGTGGCATAGGCAGAAACAAGTTGACCGGAGTCCCTACCAAACACATAACTAGCATTTTTATGACTACATCAACCAACAGGCTTCCTGAATGGAACTGCTTTTGTAGAACAAAAGAGCTCCTACACAGTACAAACCTGCAATTTTCTTCATTCATCATCTTGTATTCTCACATCAGCCAATTCTTAAGGACAGCCATAAGTCTGCATTAATTGAGCTAGGCAGGTATCATGGATGAGAGAATTTTAATAGCAACTCTGTAAAACAGTATTTTTATCAAGTGCATAGATGCAGCTTCAAAAAAATATTTTCCAGATGACATCCATATTACAAGAATCAGTAGCCAAAAAGTTCACATCTTCTTCCACCTTCAGCAGAGCTTTCTGAATTCTTCATGTTTCCAGCATATCCCAGTGGCTTCTTTCAGTTGAACAGCATCCTCACTTTCCTCACCATCCCCCGGGTGGTACAAAGCTCTCAGATGGTTCCTGCCTAGCCCTGAGCATGGCACCTTCATTTGTGTCTCAGCTTCTCTACGTGGACAAAGAGGGACGAGTGCTGCAGACAGATTCCTAGGGCTCACAGTAAATAAAAAGAACATGTTTATTTGTCAGCTTTCTTTTTAGGGACATAACATTATTTCTGTAAAAGAAAAGAAGTCACTGACTTGGTTTGAAGAAGTAATACCGGCTGTGAGAGTTTATTATCTTGGATCTCCACACCGCCAGTACTGGCCAAAGAAACTTCAAAATGTCTCTGCTTCTTCTCTGATTCACAATATCAGTGAAGGATGAATGCAGAAGATGAAGGTAGGCACCCCCAGCTGTCCGTCCAGCACTGAGTTATTGGTGCTGTGAAAGCCTCTTTGGCTGCCTTGCTGATGGAAATCGGGTCTGCAGTTGCACTCCCCAAAGGAAGGTTGATTCCTGTACCCTGATGACCTCAACACCTAATGCAAGGACTTAGTCCATTGCATGTTTTAATCTAGGTAATGTGCTCCCTAAAGTTAAATGTTCTAATGTTTCTTTGGGAAACACGAAGCGAGCAGATTCCACATCTGTAGTCTAAGATTCAGAGTGACATCTAAAAGGGCATTATTTAAAGAAAATCATAAAGCAACATCATATGGTGTGCTGGTAGGATGTTATGCTTGGTCCCCCATGCCATGTTAGAAGACAAGAAGGGAGAACCCACCAACTTCCCTAGAGCCCATTTGCTCTCTGCCAGCTGTTGGAGTGCTGTTGACTCATGACTAGTGGCCAACAGTGGCAGTCCTTGTTAGTTTCATCAGAACATGGAGCATACTTTTGTTCCCAGTGACACTGTCTGTAACATCGCCACAGGGCAGTAAAAAATCAGCATAGCTTCTGTGTTGTTTCATGTTGAGAACATTTTTGAGCTGTGATTAGTGTTTGAATGATAAATGGTGTAACTGTTAAAGAACAGCGTAGTACTTACTGATGGTAACACATTCTGTATTTAGTAGCATCACTGCATTTTACACCCTGCAGTCAGAAAGCATGTCCCTCATTTGGAGAATTTCCATATAAATTTAGAAACGGACAGTGTAATCATAGAATCAATAAATCTCCTAAGTTTGGAAAAGAGCACTTACATCATCCAGACCAACCATCAGCCCATCCCCACCATGCCCACTAACCATGTCCCTCAGTGCCATGTCTACACTGGTCTTGAGCCCCTCCAGGGTCCACCACCCTCCCTGGGCAGCCTATTCCAATCCCTGAACCTTCCCTGATGCTATATGAGGCCATTCCCTTTTGTTCTATCACTGTTACGTGGCAGAAAAGGCTGACCGCCGTCTCACCATAACCTCCTTTCAGATCGCTGTTGAGGGCAATCAACTCTCCCCTGAGCCTCCTCTTCTCCAGACCAAACTAGTTCCCCAGTTCCCTCAGCCGCTCCCATCAGACTTGTGCTCCAGACACCTCACAGCTGTGTCGCCCTTCTCTGGACAACACTTCAGGGCCTCCTTGTTTTTCTTGCACTGAGGAACCCAGAATTGAACGCAGCATTCAATAATGCAGATATACGAGATAGGAGAGAAGCCACATAAAGATATAAACGCCTTGGGCAACACGTTCATTCTAACAAATCCAAACACACGGTTGAGAACCGAGGTCTGAAAGTCACCGGTCAAAGCTTAAATCCCGCTCAGTGCCTTTCTGCTGGTCTGTGCTATCTGAAGCGGGAACGCTCTGCTCAGATTCGATGATTTGAGCAGCGCTTGACTTTTAGCGCGTACTTTTCCTCGATTTTACGCCACATCGTTCTGCCGCCTTCTGTTCTTCAGTACCAATTTGAAGTCCACCCCGGGGATATCCACGCACGGCCCCGAGCTCCGCATCCGGACACCGCGATGCCACCTGCGGGGCCGCTCCGGGGCCGACCCCCGCCGCCGGGCCGGGCCGAGGCTCCTCCCCGGGGGTGTAGCACAGGAAGAGGTGGAGGTCGGGGGAGCTCCTCGTGAGTGCTCGGAGTTCCCGTTAGTGCCGTGCTATGCGTGTGTCTTATGTTACAGCCATGCCGCACATCAGTGGCCAGAGCGAGGGGAGAGGGGAGGAAAAGCCTGTTTACACAGACTGCAAACCGCCTGGGGAATAATGCAGGAAAGGAAGTGAGCCGGCTCTCTGTCTGACTGCTCCGACTTCCTGCTCACACAGACACACACACACACACACACACCCCGACCGAAAAAAAAAAAAAAAAAAAACGGGGAAAAAAATCAGGATCTCATTACAACAGCAACAGAGCGTTTGCAGAAGGCTGTCAGCATGGGAAAGCGGGGGGTTTTACCCGGCTCCCTCTGAACACCGCGAGGCAGCGGGAGGGACCCGCACGCTCTGGGTAGGTACAGCGCCGCAGCGCCGGGACAACAACCGCAAAGTTTCGGGGGTCTGCGGGGAGAGCGCGGGTCCGGGCGGAGGGCGGGAGGGGGCGGCGAGGAGCCCCGCGCGGATCGGGCTGCTGCCCAGGGTCGAGCGCTGTGAGTGAGGGGAGCGGGGAGCGCCGCCTCGGGGGCTCCGCGGAGCCGGAGGCTGTCCCGGGGGTAGGCGAGCCCCGAGCTCCCCGCGGCTCATCGCGTCCCCCCGGCCTCACGGCTCGGCTCCCCCAGGCAGCGTCGCGCTGGCGGCGGCGGGGCGGTGTCACGGCGGATATGGGGCGCCGGAGGGGTCCCCCGGAGCCTCCGCGAGGGCGAAGGAGGCCGGAGGGGGGATTGGGGGGGGGAAAAAGGCTGCAGCGGGAACTGCACGAGGGGCTTTAAAAAAAAAAAAAGTGTCGGGAGAGTTTCTGGCTCGTCTGGAAACAGCAAGACTAATTGCCATGCGCTTCCGGTTTGAAACTGGCAGCAGACAACATCTTGAAAATGAGTCACTGCTGCTCACAAAGAAACTCTGTGGTTTTCTTCCTCTCAGGTTTATGTATTTGCTCTTTTTACAGTTTCCTTTGTAGTCCTCTGCGTTCTGCCGGCCCTCCCCCTCCCGCTCTGTCCCGAGACCCCTTGGCTGCCGTCGGTAGTTTCCACCACCAGCCTAAAAACACTGCTAATGTTTGTGAGGAGAAAAAGAGAGAGAGAGAGAGAAAGGGAGAGAAAGTGGAGAGTTGTTTTTGGATCTGGCTGTGCTGAAGGTTAGAGGGACTCTGATGCTGCAGGGGGAAAAAGTTCCCTGAATTTTCCACTGGCTGCAGGAAGAGAGCCCATTTAGTCATGGCTAAGTAATGTCTGCACACACACCAACTAATCTCATTAGGAGTTTCCGTTCCCTAACACAGGAGGGTTTTGTGAAGCCCTGACAGCCCTTCTAGCGTTGCAGTTGAAAGGGAGACAAGTTACATCTTTATTTACTTAGGGGCGCAGTGCTGAGACAAGTATGCACGGTGCGGCGTCTTTTCAGTCATGGGGATTTGAAAAGTCAGTGGTTGCGTCCCATTTCAAGCAGAAGGTTGTGGTTCGTGTTGTATTTTGCTCTTACAGACTTCCCGATCAGTTTGGATTGGATGCGATGCAGTAAATGCTTGCAGAAGGTGTAGTGCAAGAAGTGGGATCCATGCAATGCAGCTCAAGGCAGACACACTCTGCATCCATGACAGTCAGTGTGGTTGCGCTGTGAAAAGACACTCCTGTGCCCAGGTGCTGAGGCCTGAGCACGTCTGAACTGAGCATTCAGTCCTATAAGATCACCCTATGGGCACTTTGCATGTTGCATTGTCAGGCTGTATTTATTTTGTACACATCGCTTTTGAGTCGGTGCTTTGCGTAATTAGTTTGTGGTCATTTATTTCCATGGTAGTTATGAAAAAGTGCCTGTGTTCAGAATTAGAAAGGATTTTGGTATGTCCCAGTGATCTTCAGTTTTAGCCTTTCGGGGGGGTGGGGAATGGTCTGGAGCAAACAGAAAATGGAGTCTCGCTTGTGTTTTTTTTTCCTTCATGTCCAAAAAATGTGACTAAAATTGCAAGTAATAGGAAATAATACTCAACTACTTAATTGAATTATCATGTGATACCATTAAACCTAGCAAGTGTTGTGCGAAGAAGCCGTGGCTGGATGGAGGATAATTGCTGTGCACCACGTGTTTACCTTTGAGGATCTTCAGTGTTTCCTGTACTTTCTGTATCCAAGCTGCACAAAACAGTTCTTCATTACTGTTGCTATACGGAGCAGTTCTATTAGTAGATTGGTGTCACAGCCTTCAGACTTGGATGGCTCTTGGTTTCATGGTTAAGCAGGGAAAAATTTAAAAAGAATACATGAAACAGAAAACGCCTAAACTCTTCCAGGTGAATGCAGTCATTGGGTAGTGAGGGCTGTGTTCTGGGTTTTTTTTGTTTGTTTGTTAATTTCTTCTGTAAGGTTTTTGAGAGGGAGAGAGGAGCATTAATGGGCAGAATATTAAAAGTAATTTTGGGATATGTGATGGAGCAGTCAGCAGACAGCACCAAGACTTCTAGTGAAGAGGCTTTCCTTGAAATACTGCCTCTGTAATAGGCATGTTTATTGTCCACTGCTGTGTTAAATGCTGGTGGGATTTCTGTGTGCCGTCTGCTGAATCAGTGTGGATGAACCACTCACATTTGTCCAGACAGATAGGAAATTTATGTAGTGTTCATATACAGTATTCACTCAGCATACGTTCTGTTCAGAAGAGAAAAAAATCCCAATATCCAATAGAACATGATGGTTTTTGACTCAAATAATTCAAGTGCCGTAGAAGTTTTTCACTAAAAGTATGATTTTATTCTTTCCCTGTTTTAATTTATGAAGTCTATCATGTGTGAAAGGATTACATGCTGCTGGCTTAGGGGTGAGATAGGGGTGTCATAATTGCTTATATCTCAGTTTTCTCATCACCTCTGTGAGTTGTTCCTAAGAATAAAAACTGACAGGCCTTTATCGTTTTAGATACCACCAACTCTTATATGCAGCAGCTAAAACAGGCGCAGGGGGAGAAACTCAGCACAGCTTTCCTTGTAACTGTGTTTACAAAACACAACGCACACGGATGCTTTCATATGCAGGAATAAAACTTTGCCTTTACCTATGATCAATTCTCACTGCTTACTGGTGTCCCTATTACTTAATATTTTGTTCAGCTTAAATCATAAAAACAAATCAAGTGTCTCACTCTGAAGGCCAAAGAATTCCCCTTTGCTGTGTTCTAGGTCTGATGGTCTAAACTTCACTTTCTTATAACGTTGTTCTTGGGACAGAAGCCAACTTCAGGGTGTGTTACAGTCAAGGTATTCCTGTAGGAAAGTATTACTGATGGAGTGACAGTATGACAGAAGCTGAAACTTGCTTTCATTAACAAATCTGTTTCAGAGGACTTGCTGTAGAAGGGAGGTCTCCTGGCAGGTTCACCAAGGTGCACTGGAGCTCAAGGCTTGCCCTGCAGGCCATACTCTTACATGTACTCATAGTGCTTATGGACACAGGGTTTCCGCAGCTGCATAACGAATGTGAATCTTAGCTTTAGGAGTGCAATTACATGACATTAAGTTGCTTCAGCAAATCAAAGGAAAAAAGTAATGTTGAAATGAAAAGACATTTGGCCACTGAAGATTGGAGAGAGTGGAATGGGACTGGGAGAACCAACGTCTGGCTGTCTGTGATGTGTGTATATGGTGCACCATGGTGACCTCGTGCAAAGTCTGTATGTTCGTGTGGTTGCAGTTATCTCTGTTTGGTGGCTCCAGTATGCAGTGCGTCCAAAGGCAGCTTTTTGCATCCCTCGTAGAGCTGTGAGTCTGATTACAGGAAGGGACACTGATTATAGGATGTGTCGAGCCCGGGCTGGTTTCAAAGGGTGCTGTTGGTTTTGAGCTGCTGTCTTTGTAACCACACCCAATGGTTCCTGCAGAGGCTGTCACTTCTGGGCCCTTGGAAGCCATCCTGTGCCGTACATGCGAGGGGTGATTCGTCACGACTCTCCCCTCCGTGCTGTCCGCAAGAGGGAATCTTGCAGTCTTGAATCATGAGGCAGATGTTTACTTGGTGTGTGGCTTCTGAAGTGAATCAACTAATATTCTGGAAGCTGTTGAGAGCTCTTGAAAGACTGAATGTATCTGTTCTCATGTTGAAGTGTTTTGTTGAGTAAGGAATGATTAAAGAGTTAGTCATGATTTTCAGGAGAATGTCAAGGTGTGGGTACAGGAAGGCCAGCTCGCTGCTCTGCAAGGCGCCAGGCCACGTGTCTGCAGACAAAGCAGATGGAGTACAGAGTGCTCCCGTCTCTGTGCTCCCTGCAAAGAAAGTACACCATTGTCTTTACACCTTTTGTAAGCTGCTTGTGGATTTAGATATACCAGCAATCAGACCACAGTTCAGGTTCTGAAGGGTTTGCTTTTAAGAGTGGATTTTAACCCACGAGCTTTTGGAGGGAGAGTTGCTTCCTTTCTAATAGCAAAAACTAAACAAAATTCCTGCTGTAAGCGTTGGCACAGAAATATATTGATATGAAAATATCACATGCCAGTTAATTCAGCACCGATTGGTAACTCTGCAGGCATTCTGCATGTTTAATTTTACATGGATACTGTGGTGGTTTCTGCAATACCAAAAAGTGCTCTGGAACTGCCGGTGTGTCTGATCAATGTAATTCATGGTCACTATCTCACAGGTTACTGAATATTCAGGTCATTATTTCAAGTTGTATTATACTTACGAACACTGCACCGAATTCTGTAGTGCCATTAGCAAATGCAGCTCCACTGAAACTTTTTCTCTTCTCTGGCGTTACGGTTAGCAGCACCACCTCTGCCTTTGCCCTGTGGCAACCGTTGTGGTGGTTTGGGGATCTGCAGTTGTCTTTGAGCAGTGGTGTGGGGCAGTCTGTAGCAATGCCTTGGTGCCTGCATTCTGCCCCTCCTTTGGGAGGAGTCTGCTGATGCCTACATGCATGAACTGCGTGTTGGAAACTGCTCACCTGCAGGGATCACACCTATGAACTTCCAAGATGAATGTCTATAAACCATGTGAAGAAAGTTTCCTAAACTCTGTCACATTCTCTTCCTACATGTGGGGAGTTAGATACAGCTTAGACCATTCAGGAGAAGAATTTCTGTAGGAAGCCACAGGCTGTGTTTTGGTTCTTTAAAGCACTTAGATGTGTCTTTATTTTTGAGTGTGTCAGTGCTTCCGTGAATGCGCGTTGCAAGCATTGATATGCATTGCTAAGCTGGGCCTTGAGTGTCACTAGGGCATTAGTGTTTGGTTCCTGCTAGCTTTGTGCCATTTGCCTGCTCTGAGCAAGTCCTTCTGCTCTGTCATAGCCTTGCTTTAAATTTGGCAGTGTCTACATGTACTAAGCATGCAAATGATGCTGCCTGCTCTGTGAGATTTCCCCCAGACTCATTTCAGAATCATTTAAGTCATGTCTGAGTCTCTGCTTGCCAATTTACTCTGCTGTCATTGAAGACTGAAAATGTAGCTGGGATAATCTTATACTGATTACTACACATATTTGCAAATAACACTTAGTTTCTTCAGCTTTAAAGGATACTTTTTATATTTTAAATCTTGTGGATGCTAACTGAATCAGTGGTGTGGGGTGCAATTTTTCCTCTTCTCATTCTCTCC